GTGTGTGTGTGTGTTCTAACATGCAAGAAAGGACTAGAACGGTAGCCCCCAACGTGATGGGACAACTGATGGGGGTGAAATTATTGATGATCTGTTTTCCTCTTATGCAATGTTTGACTTTTTACGATGAGCTTTTTTTTTTAAGTTTTGGTGCATTTTAAGATAGGCAATACATGCTCATGAAACAAAATGTAAAATATAGCAAACGGACACAGAAAAAGGTCCACTGCCCTCGTCCCTGCTCCATCAGCTGTCAGGTGCTGCCCCACAGAGGGGCCACTGTTACCAGTTCCTGACTCCCCTTCCAGAGATACTCAGCCCACTTGCAGACGCGGCATAACTTTTAACATCAGCAGAAATAGGGTATCTCCATTTTTTAAAAAAAAAACCCTATATATCATAAGTAATATATAATTATATTGTATATAGATATATGGTCCTGCCTACCTTCCAGCGAGTGGCTTCTGATCCTTTCTCTGCCTCCTCTCCCCATAGGCTGACCCCTAGCCCCAGGCTTTCTGCACAGGGAGGAGGGACCTGCTGGCTTCGAGGGTGCTCTAAGCCTGGCCCTTCCATGGCCCCTCCCTGTGATCTGATAGGAGGCTGGGGAAGCCCCCTCTCTGGGACCTTCTCAGTTCCATGGGCCAGGCCCCTCCTGCTGACCACAACCCCAGCCCTGCAGGAAGGTCCTGCTTCTCTCCCGAGCCTTGTACGGTCAAAGCAGGGCAGCAGCCTTAGGCACCAGCCACCAAGGCAGGCCGCCCAGGTGGGAAAAGCCTGGTGAGCGTGGGACGGGACTGGTCTTGCACCCCAGCATCGCCACTCGGAACTGTGGTCTCTGGGCAGGACGGCCTTCCCAGGCCTTCCCCGAGAGACAGGTTAACAAAGATGCCACTTCACAGAGATGAGTGGAGACCATCAGGTTGCAGCTGCACCCGAATGGGAGCTGCTGCTGCATGCACTGGGGGCCTCCCCAGCACCCGTCGCCTCATACCCCACGTTCCTGCACCCCGCTCCTCTCACCTGTGCCGGTGTTGACTTTGCCCCCCAGTGGCACCCCCTCCCTTCCTCACTGCCTTCTGTGCTCACAAAAGCTCTAGAGTGGCGCCTATGAAGAAGGAACAATGATGAGTGCGTTTGACAGATGAGGAAACGGAGACTGAGAAACGCTCAGTGCTCTGTCTGGTCTCACAGGTAGCAGATGGCACGTCGGGGCCTGAACCCACATCCATCTCTGCTGGCAGTTCATGCCTTTACCACTTGGCTCTGCTACCTTCCCTCCAGTGATGGAGTCTGACGGCCCATCAAGGCCTCTCACCCCACGGCCACCTTGGTGTCTCTGCTCCACGGATTCCTGGGACCTCCGCCTCTGGGTTTGGGGGATGGCAAAGCTGCCAGAGGTCCAGGAGGATGCTCCAGAGATGATGGTCCCGGAGGCAGGGACCAGCCCCCTGGGAGATGATGTAGGACTCTTAACACTTAGGGCCCCCGCTCCGAGGGCAGGCGCCACCTAGACAAGAGAAAAATTAAGGTAAGCAGGGAAGAGGATTACCTTTGACACAGCCTCTCCTGGTAACTGGGGCTCCTGGAACAGCAACAGCCAAGAGGGGACGTATTTAAGGACCCTCCTTCCTGCCCACTGAGCCCTTGGAGTTCCTGCCCAGGAAGTTTGCGTGACAAGAAAAAAAAAATATTCAAATGTGGGGTGTGGCGTCCTCTGGACCTCTGCTCCCTACAGCCCTGGTTTTGGGGATTAGGTCCGGGGCTGTCTGCTTTTGTTCGCTTCTGAAATGCCAGAATGTTTCTGAAGGCTTGGGCAGGGCACACATCTGATCTTCAAAACAGTCTGTGTTCGCCCTGGGCATGGGGGCCGCTGATTGATTCAGCCTGGCGTGGAGCTCTTCCAGCTTTCCAGACTTGCCACTGCCAGATGCGATTCTCCGAGTTCTCTGGTTACATAAGATCGGCAGGGGTCAGCCACGAGCCACAGTGAGAGCATGGCCCCCTCCCAGCCAGCGCTGCCCCGGGCCCTTCACAT